CGGGGATCAGCGATGCTGAGCTCCCAGGATAAATACGTTGAACCTAGGGTGGGGTTCCGCGCATGCGCCAGCAGTCGCTCCATCGAAGTTTGTATAATACTATGAGTCCCATAAATGAAATAACATGCCTTGCAATCTATTTAATTTGAATGGTGGGAGCAAGTATCGCACGCTAAACCGGATAGAGAAACCCTGCCAAGGTTTTCTGATCTTAGGAGCAGGCCTACCGCTCAAGACATTTCGGTTTCCTGGTGATGGTTCCGGTTATCGATTCCTTTTTTTCTTTTTTTTGTGTTTAGTTCCCCGTTTGCCTCTTCAAATCATTTAATTCTTCCTATGGACCCTCGGGATGCTCCTGGTAGGGTAACACACCCCCATGCTATATTAGGTAGTTTGGTTTTTATTCCTATTGCTTTTGGCATAATGCGCCCCCCATAATTGTGGGTACATCATTCATTTGTAGAATAGTGAACAAGTAAAGCGCCGAGTTGAAGTATTTGAAAAAAGAAAACCCACCTATCACATATCACTCTAGCTGTGGCACCGGTTTCCAACATACTCGTGGGATCGATGAGGGAAGACTATGAAAAAGGATAGTGCGTAAACTTACGTACAGTACTCGTACACCTCCTCGGTCCTTCGCTAGGGCTATCTCACCCGTAACCGTCTGCTACTAGCATGCCGCGAGTCCCATATTTCTAGATCTTGGGGCCCATACAAAAGGCTTTCCTTGCCAAGTTCTGAGCATTCCATCAATGAACTGCTACCCGGTCAAATCGTGGAGGTTTAATAAGACTTTGGCTAGCCGGTTGAGAACCACAAGTGCTAATTGGAAGCCCTACGCCTCTTTATTCGAGTTTGCCGAGAATCGGAAGCGCTATTGAGAGGGGTCAGGAACTTGCTCCGCCATTCTCATTTGCCAAGTTTCTGCCGAACCCGCATATATTTTAGCGAAAGATTGGGAATAACTACACCCAGGAACTTCCGGGCCGCACCTGAACCAGAATGAAAGTAGTGGGGCATACTGTGACCTAGGATTTGGTTTTGCAACATCTCTGCGGGGTCGGGTAGTTCTCGAATGCTGATGGCTTTTTCAGACTTGCGATCATCGAGCGGTAACCAAGATTTTTTTAGGGGCCTGAATCCTAAGTTACTATGTTCATCAGTGAGCAGCCCTCCTTTATCTGACAGAAAAACCATTGGCTAGAGAATGACCCAGGTAGGATCTTATCGATGATCAGGAACCAGCCCACCCCATTACCGCGATCGAGTGAAAATAACTGGATCAAAAGAGGATTATCAATCGGAATTTATTACACTAAAACATCGCCAATAATGAGACCAGCCCGATATCGAGTGATATTCTATGTTCTGACCAGAGAGTCACCGAGTTTAGACGCCATGATCCATTGGGTTTTCCAGGGTAGTCACCAGTAGACTAACGCTTGTAAGGCGTGAGTTATGGCGGCATTGTACAGCGTCTGGAACTTGTATTTCAAACCACATCGCCCCGATGCTGCGCAGGTGGAACGGGTGTTGTTGCAGACTCTCCATCAAAAGGTCCCCCCTCTCTAGAAGTGGGCTGTAGGGTGCATTGCCGGTAATGTGTTGGCATCCTCTTGCGATCGGTGACTGGGGACACTGCGAAAGTACTAGTATCTGCCCCGGAATTATAGGATAGGCCAGAAGAGCAGTGACCCATCGGCTGCTATGTCAGTATGCAATACAGAAATCAGTGCGATTGTTGAGCTTCTCACCAGCTGGATGGCGGTAGGTAGGGAAGAACAGAGAGCTTCCGGAGGAAGATATTGCAACTTGATCGCTGAAGACCATCTCACAGCTCCATTTCTAGTGGGCCTCAACAGGAGTGAACCTCTGGACGCACAACCTTCACCCAGGTTTTCTAAATACAGCAATATATATACTGGGTGCTGTTACTATATCCTAAGGGCAAAGCAACTGGTGGCAATAACTGCTTGGCTCGGTGATACAATGTTAACATCTTTTGAATCTATGATCGTCCATGTAGGTGCGTGGGCGCGCCCGTTGTAGGCTGCTCTGGTCGGCCTTCAGAGGTTGCCTAGTTTTCAATTGGGGTGCTGTCCCCCGATACACTCCAACAAGGAGAAGGAAGCAGGAGGCTCGGAAAATGCAACCAACGGAGTGGTGAAAGGGTAGTACAGACGGATGCCTTGGGTTTAACATGTGCTCGGTGTTGTCTGGTTGCCGGTGACCAATTTTTGCATCTAAAACAAATTGTGAAACTTGAGCGAGTGCTAGTATTGGATTTTGAGTAGAAATTTGGGATTTCGTGGTTCTAGTATCCGAAAAACGGCGTGTAACCCCTTGTCAAACCTCAAAACCGTTCAGCAAGAAATGTTTCTCTACCCACTCATACTGCCCCTGATCAAGCCTATCAGGGCAGCATTTGGCGCCAAATGTCCATCCGCCACTCCCACTGCGGTGTTCGGAGTTGTCAGATGAATGATCCTAGGGGAAATCATTTTCCATGAAAAGTGAAAAGTGCCCGCCACAAATGTCACTCTCATCTATGTTCACTAACTGTGTTGGAACCTGGGCCAAGGGCCAGCTTATCCCGCAGGTATCCCTGACGATGACCATTTTGTTTAGGGAGCCGGAGTGCAATTTTGGGAGAGGCCACTACGAGCTATGCCGCTCCATATCTCATGCTTTGCAGAGAGATAGGTTTGCCTCTCGTAAACCAATCTTAAAGTCCACTTCATGCAAAGAGACATCCATCCATCACGAGCACCGCCGATATCGATGGCTTCCCGATTGTTGAGTTGTTTATCACAGGCTGATTCGAGACTTCGAACCCCCCCCCGCACAAAGAATGAATATCTTGCCTGGAGAGGAAATATCACCCTCATGGGGAAAACCGGTGGGACTCTATTGTAAGGTCGGGTGGCTGCCCAAATAAGAATTTGCATAGCCTGTATAATAGTGCGGCGGAATCCCCAGCTTAATGTGCTTGGTTTAGGAAACCTGTCGATCGCTCTATCTAAATGTGTCGGGGATTGTGGAGCACAGATGAATTCCAAAGAGCAACCAAGTTTCACCCAGATCAACACCGCGCCCCTTCTATTTTGTTGAACCAAGTCTCCGCTAAGTCAAAAATTGAAGCCGGCATCAATGGCGGTGGAAGAAACTCCCTCTGAACCTGCAGAAGATTGACACCCGACGGGAGTGAATCGACAAACGAATGCGCATTCGCGCGCCCCGTAACCGGATAAAGCCTCCGGTACCACATCCAATCTAAATATTTTGGATTTGGACTGAAAGATGCACACAATTAGGGAAAATTGCCCTGACCCGTCACCACAACGGGCAGACTCGCACCGTTTTACCAGGGGACTCTTTAGTCGGAGGAACACCTTTCGTCACCAAGGGTCACTCGTTCCTGCGGGAGCCTTGCCTGAGACTTTTGATTCAAGTTGTATACCGAAGTGGAACGGTGACCGTGTGCCGGAAAAAATGAGTAGGAGTATCTCGTAAGCCTGAGATAGCTTTAGTCTCTGGATGATTTCTAGATAAAAATGAATGATAGTTGAAGGTGAATCGCATCTGGGCCCGTCTAGGAGGTTTCCCTCCACCTTGAGTCAATATACTGTTCCTTGGATGGATGATACGGCCGAATTTGTCACCTAGCTCGTACACGTCTTTTAGAAAGGGTCGACCAGAGTAGAAAGATCAAGACCGCCCGTTCGTGATAAGGACTTCTTGCAAATAAATCCTTTGAGAAATTGCACGGACTGGGTGACAAGCCTGACCTTGTCATTAGTCTAGGAGATAAGCCGATAAAACCTGACGATATGATACCATGTTTGTCTCATAGAGTAGGGGAGTGTAGTAGACAGCCGGGGAACAGAAATTTGTTGAGTTGGTTGGTACGTTTTGAGACGCTAATGCACCAAGCGGTCAGCAAGTTTTCTAGAGCAAAAAGGAGCGGGTGGTTCTATTCGAATACAAACGAGTGGATTGTATCCTAAATTATCCGTGAGATTGGGTTAGTGGAGACCAAAGATCGCTATGATATCTTTTTGAAATTTAGTATCATAGGGCAACGGCGCTGTCGGGATAACATCGGGGGCAGTATCAGGGTCTCGTCACCCCTCCATCATCTGCTCTCTAATCCCATAGATTGATATTAGAGAAACTTCCAAAATGCGAAAGAGTGATTCTCTCCAAGATAATCAAGGCCGGGCGCCCAAAAAACCGGTGCCAAAAAATTGTAACGTCTACCAAGGATTTGTTAGTTGGTCTCCCTTTGGTTGATATGGGTTTTCCGGGTGTAGATAGTTTTGTCTTGGCTGTGCTGTGCTATCTTGGCATCAGGAGCTTCTCAATTTTCGATGTCTCCATGAATAGAGTGAGCGGGTGATGTTTGAGAGGGGGAAATGGTGAGAAAACGATGGGTCATATCTATGATACAATACATTCCCGCTCATGGGAGCACAAACCCCTTTATATAGGACATAGGATTCACCAGCCCCACATCGTACGAATTCTACCAACCCCTACGTTTATCGGATCAGGGGTATAGTTGGCTCCGCCTCGGCCACGCTCACCGCTGGCCGTTCCCCAATTGATAATCTTTCCCCTTTCTCCTTCTGAACCTTCACATTGGACAGTTATGGCTGTGCCAAATCCTTCAAATGAACCCTTCTCCCCCTCTCAAAAAAACAGCTATCTGGGTCGCCTACACCCTGAACACCTGCCCCCAGTAATTCAGGGGTACTCAGCCCTTGGCTATTCCCTCGAAAGGGCAAAGAGGTCTAGAATTTTTACACCATCCACACCTATCGATCTCTCTCTGTCATCAGGAGGTTGAACCACCAATAATAGTATTCTTCAACGCACACCAGGTTTCTTGACGAGTGATAATATGTGTTTTTATGGCTAAAGAAATGTGTGGACTAAATTGAAGAGTTGCGGTAGTGGGTGCCTAGGTGGGCTAGGCGATATATATATCCACATAGTAACCGAAGAGATATAATTGCATCCTATATATATGGGAATATTTAGCAAGGTAAGGAAAATGTCTTTATACAGTGCTGTACGCTCCGACTCGTTTGTTATCATACGCCTAGACGGCCTAGCTTCTCGGAATACAACAACCCCTTCTGAACTACAAACACACGACTCCATGTTTCGTTTGGCCAAGATCGAATAATCAAAAAAAGGATGTAAACAAACTACACGTGATTACGCAGCTCCCCGTGTCCAGGTCCACCTTTTAACGGTCCAGGACGAGTGAGTAACTGGGCGCCGGACTAAAACTTCCTCTTCTTCTTGACCGGCACCTTCTTCTTCGCTTCTAACTCCTTTTGCAGCTCCCTTCGTTTCCGATCAGCCTTTTCGTCCTCATCTTCCTCCTCCTCTGCTGCTTTAACGCTCTCTTCAGGTGATATTAAAGGAGGGGTTGGAACCCGCGACTGAAAATCATTTAGCGGTGCATCCTCAAATTAATGGGAAGGGTGGAATACCGCTGATCCGTATGGAGCCCCTTTTCCATCCTCTATCATATTTTCTCCCTGCCCCATCTTTCTCTCGCCAACCATTCCAATCTTTCCAATCGTTTTCCTTACTGTTGCCGTGTTCTTTTCCTCGTGAGCCAGCTCGGGGGTCGACTTCCACCCTCCTATAACCATCTTGACGCCTTTGTTTGCTGCCCGAGAGGTGGGTACGCAACCGTTGGTTTCGGTCTCCCTTTCCTTTCCTTTTCCTTTGTTCACCGAAATCCAGGCATCATCCTCATCCCCCGTTTCTTCGGTATCTGCCATTGGGATATCAAGCGGGATGGGGCTAGGACTTGTAGTTTTCCTAACCCCACCGATCTTCCCGATGACTCGCTTGATGGGTGGGGGTGGAATTTTGGATAGCGAGACGGATTTTGAAACATGGGGAGAGTCTGGTTTTCGGGAGGTTGGAAGGTCAGCATCGAGGTCATCATCCTCCGAAGCGGTTTCAACTTGGGCAAGATGGGCCCGAGACGGAGTAGGGGATTTTAACTTCCTCCGGAAGGACGGGGGGGAAATGCTTTGTGGTTTCTTGATCGATTGAGGGGTCCGTTCTGAAGCTCGGGGAGGGGTTCTTCGAACCTGAAGGGGCAAGCGGGTTAATGAAGGGAAATCATATCATAGGCATAGTAGCAAGGAGATTAGGGATAGGATGGTGAAATTGCTTCGACTCTTGTCTGCATGAAGACCCACGAGTGCAAAGTGCGTTGCATGCCTTGAAATAAGCAACTCGCTAGCATGGACACAAGCAAGAAGTTTATCCCCGTGAAGAATATCTTAAAAGAGCTCCCTACCGAAATCAACGTACCTCAAATTCATCGTCGTCTGTGTCTGAAACTGGCTTTCCCGGTATCGGATTCTGGAGCCATCTCTCTTGGGCGCCCCCACCAGGCTCGAACTTTTTCCTGGGTTCCTTCTCTTTTTCCTCCCCACCTCCATCTTCATCTAGTCCCCTCCACCACTCACCAGCTTCTCCACCAAGCCCCTTAACACCAGGAATCTCTGGTTCTGAATTCTGCTCAAAAACCTCGCTAACAACTTCCCCGGCTCTCCTATCCCCGCCCAAAAACTCACCTCTCCACCTGCCTACATCAAATTTATCTAACCCTCTCCTTCTTCTACCACCCCCAACCATGGCCCCGACGTCCATCCCCGCTTCCCCCATACCTTCAACCAGCCTCTCAAGCACAGTATCCTTTTCTTTAACAACAGTCATCAAGCTCTCAACCATATCCCTCAAAGTCGCGACCTCACTCAAATAGGGCAGCACCAATAAATTTACAAGTTCAACCCCACCAACAGGCTGAAGCTCAAAAACCCACTTCAAATCACCCAAGGGCTTCGGTAACTCAACCGTAGCCTTGAGCCTAAGCCCACTCTTCCCAAGAAAGATCTCCACATCAACGGCATCGTCATCCCTCTTCCTACCAAGTGCATATTCCAGCTTCTCCAGAAGTATCGGCAACTGGCTCACATCCTCGCTTGGATCGATAGCAGTGCTGTTGCGCTCGGCGCGAGCCAGTATCTCACGCTTGGAAAGGGATTCCGACCATATATTTACCAGGTCCGTTAGGTGAATTGTATAGGTTGTTGATGTGAAGGTTGATTGCAGGAGTAGTGGTGGGGCGGACCGGTTCGAGATAGTTAACGGGAGGGGGTGCCAGGGAGTCTTTGTTAGAGGCATTGTTGATTCTAAATAATTTTATTCCTCAAGGACCACCACCAACGATGCTTTTTGCGGGAGAAGGGAGTGCGAGACAGCAAGAGAGGCAAGTTGTTTGGGGCAAGCTGAGTGACTGGTAATATTATGGCAGTTGAGCAAACCTTTGACCTCGGTTGCTAGGTAGCTGAGGTGCCAGCGTCTGGGTGCGACTGACACGGCTGTGGCAAACCTGACGAACTGTTATGGGGCTGGAGTGGCTGCTTGGGGTGGCGTCCCGGAGTAAGTGCTGTAGCTTATTGGATAGGGCTGGATAACTTATACGAAGGAAGCCCGACATGAACAGTTATTTGTGGTTAACCAGTCAACTGCTGGTATACCGTATTTACTCGTATAATCCACTATCTCCGCCAGGTGTCCAATCTCCGTGTGCACAGACAAAAACCCCTAAGAAGGATTAGTGTTTTCCTTACACGGCAAAGCCTGAAGGCGCTGACTGTGTTGGATCTTATTAACTGGTATTCGCAATTTTGTTAACCTATCAAACTAAACCCATCGTGGGCACAGGCAGGGATTGGCGGAGATAGCCTTGCATATGGAGATAGTGGATTATACGAGTAAATACGGTATTCCTGCCTCCTCTATCATAGCTAATAAGTTCTCACCCTTCTATGATGAATCCCTTCATCATAGGTCGTAAATATCTATCGTCAGCACGCGGGGGAATGGCAAGGGAGATCACCTCCGGTCACTTTTTGACTTTGAACACTCTTTCATCTGAAACAAGTAGGGGATGAATTGTATACTCGAGTATGATACTATATTGTTTTCTCTAAGATTTAATTGGAGTAGTAGGCTCTATCCGATAGCTTACCCTTGTTACGTTACAGTCAAGCAAGGTGTCATCATTATCCCTGAGATGTGTTACCATAGTGTGTCATAATCCTTTCTCCCTTTACCACGTTGCACTCATACTCGAGCGCAATATTTGCTGCGCAGAAGCTGGCTCTTGTATTGTGTTTAAGTAATTTCATTTCTTAAGGACTATCACCAACCTGGTATACATGCCCAATAGTGTTATGTCCATGTGATAAGCCAACACCACCCTTACCCCAAAACAAAACAAAACAAAACAAAAACAAAAAACAAAAACAAAAAACAATTATCACCTTCAAACATAAATCATTCCCATACCAACAATTTATCCCATTTCACCACTAACCCAACAAAGGAAATCCTCCGTCAATTTATCCCAACACTGGATCTGCTTCCTGAAGTATTCCCCCGCAACATTTACTGTCCTTGCCGTACCACAAACATAATAGGATCCCGGTTCCAAATATCTCCATTTCTTAGCCCACCATACCGTAAGTGTAGTACAGTATTCTAAACTTTCCCCATCCCACCTATCTAGTAGCCTATTACAAAAACACTTCGTCCATATTGCTGCACAATCTCTGTAGAAATTAAAGTGCCACCATCTGCCATGAACACAACCTTCTTCTCACAACCTTTAGAGTCAATGTCATGGTCCATTCCAATCAGGAATGGAAATCGACATCTCATATGGAATGGCAAAACCCGGAGCATGTACTGGCCGCTCTTTCCATAGCAAACCCCACACCTATCACATCTCCCTTCGTCAGATATTTCAATGATACAGCCATTACACCTGTCTACATAAAACACCATACGGAACCGGTTTCCAGCCACTACCCTCACATTGTTGAAGTCCATTTTACCTGATGGCACTCCCAGCGCAAGCCAGGTGTGCTTCCGCTACCATAACACCCACTCCCGGATCTGTTTATCAACAAACAGCTTAGCTAGGTCAGGCCATCCTTCCTTAAACTGATCGCAGCTGACCAAATGCATTCAGTTACCACCTCCACTGCAATCACCATGTCCTCATAACCCAGCTCCACTGTGTAACTGTACTAAGAGGTACTTGCCCATCCTGGTAAGCCCCCTTAAATGTAGGGGCTTGGCTGGCTTCCGAGAGTAGTGTCTATGTCCTTCCGCAAGGTACCACACAATCCACTCACACTATTTCATATCCCACGCCACTATGCCATTCCTGATGCTGAAAGAATTAACATCGAGAATTTCAGGGCTTTTTCTAATAGAGTTTTTGGCAATAGAGTCAGCCATCTTATTTCCAGGAATTCTTATATGTCCAGAGATCTATCAGAAGCGAACAAATTCAAAAGAGTTTAAAAAAGGTACAAGTGTATCCCACACTCCAGCAATCTCATTATCACAACTTGTATTCCTTACCATGACGAGCACTAGCTAACAATCAAGCAGGACTTCCACTGTTCAACAAGTGCAAAATAGCAGGACAGCTTAAAGGGCATCAGCAACTGCCATCATTTTGCACTCCACAATTGACCATGATGAAGGTATACCGAAACCACATAACTCTATTACCTTACCACCCAGTATAACCATCCACGTACAGGCAGCCCCCTTACCGGTCTTGGATCCATCCACGTATACCCTAACAGTATCTTTCCTCCTATTCTCAGACATCCAGAATGCCATCAGTGACTCCACCTTGCCCTAATCAATACGGATAGCAGGGCACATGACCATCACCTTATCAGAATCAGTCATCACCTCCTGCCTCCTGTCAAATTTCCATTCACAATGGATCACTGACTACCATAGGAACTCTTCTTTGAAACAATATGTGGTCATCCTTGTGAAACATCTCCGCTGTAGGTAGTGCTCCTGAATCACAATAGGCGGCATCCCAAACTCCATGGAGAGAATACTGTTAGCAAGTTTAAGTGGTGTCCGGAATGTACTACATATACAGTCATTGACATGTACCTGGATTCTCTATATATGACTCAAAGTCTGTTAAGAATTCCAACCCATAGTACACTGTCAGCAGATAGGCTGCCTGGATCAGCCAGTAGGCTTCTCACGCCTCCAGCCTATCCGCCCCCCTCTACCTCCTTATCAGTGCCTCAATGCGCCTTCTCATCTCTATCACTCATCTCAACCAGTACTTGATATGATAATCCCAGTATAAAAACTGGTTAAGGAAGTATCCTAACACCCTCAAACACTCAATCAGGTCCAGGCCTACACCTTCAAAAGCAATCTTATCCCACGCTGAGTCACCCAACCCCAGCTATTGCAATTTCTGGGCAGAGAAGTCCAGACCCCTCCCCCAAACTACCAGCTTGTAGTCCTCAAACATTTCCTTAGCCACACTAGCTGCGACAAATCTTGAACTCCCAGCCACCAAGATCACACAATCATCAATGTATGAACTGCATATACAAGCAGCCAACCATACTACCCAAAGCCTCAACCTGATTATATCTGCCACATAGGTTTCAAGCAGAAAGGGGGAAAGCGGCAATCCCAGGAAAATGCTACATGCCATGAAATAGTCCTTAGAGATGTGTGCATTAAACCTGAACTGGACTTTCCTCCTCAGGCACCACCTCCAAACCAATAAAATAAGGTTTGTAAACATACTCAGAGGCATCAAAAAGTCAAAGAGTGGATTATGATTGATATAATCAAACCCACCCTTTACATTAATAGAGACAATAAGGCAAGCCCAGTCCTTATAGAACTGAAGGAATTCGAACACTGATGCTATGGCATTGTACACACCCCTCCTCCTCTGGGAACTAAACTATGTCTCTTCTAGCTCGAGCTGATATACTGTCTGGATGAGTACTATTCACTCGGCAATCTTCGCAGTTGCCAACAGCAAGTAGATCATCTACCATGATTTCACGACAACATATCAAGCCTTGTCTTCCTTCTCGATGAGCACGCTCTCTGCTACATGTTATTCAGTGTTATCCCATCTCAGTCCATGGTTGATTATCCTCCAAAATTGGTCCAATCCTGTTTGCATTAGAGAGCAGTAAAATGGGTAAGTCATCCTGTCTTGCCCAGGAGCTGTATTACTAGGGCTTCGTGCGATGGCAACTTTGACCTCATCGCAGGGTGCCATATTGATCTCCTACCGAACCTAAGGCATAGTAGTGTCCGGTTGCAACTGCTCGGCACTCATCTTCGAGATATTATAATGGATTCTAGTACCTGTCCCATCATCTCTCTCCATGGCTAGTAATGCTCGTAGTAAGGTGAGCTGCCTAACTAACTCAAATACCTCTAGGTTATTGGCTTTCCAAATTCTCTTTGCCATGTATGAGTTTTTCATTCAGTCCATCATTCCACTGTAAACCTTGCTGGCCAATGGGTTGTCACGAATGTGGCTTGGCATGGAAAAGGTTTTCACATGACTCATGATTATGAGTCATCGGTATGTTATTGTTTCATGCATATGACTCATTTGGGTCATATGATTTATTATGTTATGTTTTGCATATGATTTGATTATGAATCATCAGAGGTACGCCTGGTGAGTATGCCTTGCGAGTGTGCCTTGCGGGTATGCCTTGCGCATATGATTTATGTTTCGCACATGACCTTGTTATGAGGTCATGGGTTTCACACATATGACTCAGTCGAGTCATATGACTTATTTATTGCGTTATGATTGGTTTATAAGATTTGGCGCATGACCTTGCTATAAGGTCATGGGTTTTGAGCATGTGACTATTTGGTCACAAGACTAATTTGTTATGATTTGGTTTCGCACATGTGACCACTTTGGATCATATGACTATAGGTGGGAATAACACTATATAAGGAGGTCAATGCGGCCGAGAAGGCTAGGTTCTTCACGCTTTGTTCTAAGTACTTTTCCCTGTCCTTGCCGTTGCTTCGCCCCGAGCGTTTCTTTCGCACCCATGGTGGGCCTTGATGTCTTGGATTCTAGGGGAGATATCTGAGTTCACTCAGTAGTTGCTGGGGTCCTTGGTGTTGAGGTCTGTTAGGCGTTGCGTGGTGGATTACTTGTTCGCTTCTCGATTCATTGCCTGATGGCTTCCCACGATGCTGTCACTTTGAGCACTTCATCATGGTCACTTATGAGCCTCTTTCAGTAAAATGCCTTCTGCTTCCTGTCTATTGTTTTCTGGCAGGTTTCGCGTTCAATTGAGGGGGATGGAACATTGTGTTTGGGGGGATCACCTGTGTTGTTCTTTGTGCCAGCTCATGTTCTTGTTG